TAAAAGTTATTTGAACTACCCAGTTGACATGCGTAATTTAGCTCACCTGAATTACAGAGCGACAGCCCAATCCGAGCCGGAGCATGCTAAGTTTTGGCATGATAGCCACAATGGCCAGTATTCGCCCATTTCGAAGGTGCATGCCACGTGGGGTGACCAGTTCTAAGAAACTGAGCGTCTCCAGGTTTGCCGATTGCGACTGGAGGAAGTTTTGCAGGTCCCGCTCGGTCGACCATGGATAGATGGAAGACGTCTCAAAGTGCGTCAACTTCAGACTGTCCCTCATTTCAGCCAGGGTACGGATAGTGTTCGGGAAAAGGTTGGAGATAAACAACCTAGCCAGGTTCTCAAGCCTAGAGAGAATTTACGTAAATGTGGCTGGGATCTACTTTAACAAACATAGTTCAACGTATTCTGCACTCAGGTTAAGGCAATTTACCGGTTGGCGACTCGAAGGTGACGCAGTAGCTGTGGGACGTTACGATATCCCACATCTTCCGACGGACCAATGTATGTCATGTTTTTTTTTTTGCTTCATTTCAACTCTACTTCCCACATTTAGTGGGTTGTTACGTAGAGAGGCCTTAACTATGTGGGTGGGAGGACCCTAAGGTGCAGCCTCTAGTCCGCACTCCCCCATCCCACGCACTGTGAGGGGGGCCCGACCCCCCGCGACACGGACCGGAAAACCCCCGAAGGGGAAACCGCCGCCACCAGGGATCGAACCCTGGCCCATTTGGTTCACAGTCGTGCTCTTTAGCCATACAGCTATCGAGTCGCTATGTTCTTAAGTTCTGGACATACTGTGATCATATTCCGCACAACGATTGGTATCTGACTATATGGCAATGACTTGGAAAGGTAGCATATAGTCAGGGTTCGAATTTTAGTTTGTGGTAAGTTCATAGCGTTAGTGCTTAAGAAATTAGAATCCGATCCAGACGTTGTAACAGACAGCACGACAAATTCAAGAACGTCGAGATTGGGACATTGTTCGAGGAGGCGTAGGAGTGAGTCTTCATCCAAGAGATACTTTGATTAGGGTGATAAATATAAAAGGTCAATTAGCATTCATTGTTCCCAGAGACACAAAGCTAAACGGAAACGTCGAAAGGGAAAGTGAAGCCGCGTTTAGTCTTTACTTTTACTTTACTTTTTGCCTATCCTGCAATGTTAACGATTACCATAGAAAGATAGGCAAAAAGTAAGGTAAAAACTAAAGTCTAAACGCGGCTTGGGAAATGTTGCCAAATTTTGACATGAATTTTGAAAAGTGGTGCGACCGTAAAATCTGTAATCCGACTCAGAGAGTTAGGGGAAACGAAATGAGACCGAGTCCAGTCTAAAAATACTCATTTGTTCAGGACGTGCTGGTTTTTGGACTCCCAATTACGGGTGATTCTAATTTGATGACTTGATGACTTGATGACCAACGCTGTCTCCATGTTTAATGAGATCATTTAGAGTTTAATGACCCGATGTTATAAAAATTTTACTCAGAAAATTTGCGAACCCTGGTTTTTCTCACTTTGCCCTTGCTTTTCATTCAAGCTCCAGTTTTGATTCTGTTGACAACTGGAGAAAGTAGATCGTTTGTGTTGAAATACTAAATCATCTATATAATTTTTACGCCGTCCTAGGGAAATGGCCAGAACGAAGGTAACTTTTCTATGCTAACCTATTTTCTATTCTCATTGACCTATTTTATTCCATACAAAGCAAACTGCTCGACGATCTATAGGAGGAAAGGCTCCCCGAAAATCGTTGCCCACGGCAGACCTATTTAAAAGCGGAATGGCAGGATCAACGATGAGTCAATGACTAATCATGATCTAATGCGAGTTTATACCTTAAGTTTTTATGTCTGCCTGAACTGGAAATAGGTTTCGATTTATTTTACACCACATTTCTTCGTCTTTGAACTTCTTCTAATTAAGTGGCAACCACTAGCTAATTAAGTGGTTGTGAAATCATAAATAGTGAAAATTTCAACCAGTGGGAAGTCCCATCTTCTTAAGTGGCAAATTTCAGCTAATTAAGTGAAGCGTTAAATCCAACCCTATTTTATATGGTATATTTATATAAGTTTTATTTTTATAGGATATTGCCTATTTTGGGACCTTGAATTATGGGGCATGTTCGTAATCTTTTATGAATCAATTGACATCAATCAGAAAAATCGTGCCATTTTTGAAGCGTGGGTTTTGAGTAACTTTTAAGATTAGAAAAACAATTATTATGAATAATTGAAGTTTTTATCAATTTTTACTAGAATTTTGTCATTATGCTGAAATTGTTGAGAAACTACAGACTGGGTTAAGTGTGGTAGACAGATTTCCTAGATTCTGCCTTGTTGTGCATTTATATGCATTTTTGAGGATTTTATGCGCTGTGTACACACAAAATTAATATGTACAATGCAGACTAATAAAAAGAAACACTGATCACCGAATTATTTTTGGTGTAACAGTCTAGTAAAAGAAGTGCAGATATGCGTGTTTTACCGGTAAGAATTTGTGATCTGAACAACATGTCAAAATGACGAGAGCCGCTAACAACACATTAATTATTGTTAATTATTATTGTTACAATTATTAATTATTGTAGGCATTATACAATAAATGATAGTTCATAATAAATATAATTACTAAATAAAACAAATAAATCTCCCGCGTTATGACATGTTATTAAATGTTACGTACAACACATTAAGAAGGCTTCCTTATAAAATGCAACTCAAACTAATTACAAATGTTGAAGCGTAGACAGAAGTTAAAAATTTGCAATGTAACGTTTTGCACTGAAACTTTTGTTTCAGTGCAAAAAAAACAGGATTCGCTAGCCTCAGTCAGGGTTGGAATATTTTTCCTAGATTTGACTTATATATTACTCTTTGGTTTGCGATTTTGAACCTCGATACCAAATTTCACCTCATTTCAATCATTTTCAAAAACAAGAATGGACTACAGCACAGGGCACCACTCCGATAACAACTTTACAAAGTGAGTTATATTAATCCTTGTCCTACTTACAAGGGCGCTATATTTTGTCTAAAATTGGTAATCGTCACCTGGCATGCAAAATGTCCAGTACTTTCCACCAATTTCAAAATCCAATTTGGGTTACGTCTACCGTGTTGGGTGTATTGGTATGAAATTTCAAGATATTTTCACCACCATTGCAAATCTGAGGAGATCTCAAACATTCATACCAAATTTCATATTTTTTTCAGTCAAATTCTTATCTTACAATGCGATGGTGTGACGTGCAACTCTCCGATTTGGGTGAAATTTTAAAATTGAGTGGTACAAGTCAATACAACCAACGTTTCTTGAGGCAGTTTGTGCGATGGTTGGGATTTGTCAAAATATTTGAGGTCAAAGTTGAAAAACGGGCGATTTTTACCTTTGAAAAGAATGGAAGTGCAGTTTGTCTCCTGCGCTTGGTAAAAATCGCCAGTTTTTCAAATTTGACTTCAAATATTTCGACAAAGTCCAACCATCGCACAAACTGCCTCAAGAAACGTTGGTTGTATTGACTTGGACCACTCAATTTTAAAATTTCACCCAAATCGGAGAGTTGCACTTCACACCATCGCATTGTTAGTATGGATCAGTCGGCTGGGTCACTTACAAATAAAAATTATTGTAGATCTAACCGTGTCTTATGTGACATGCAGAGTGTAAAAATATGGTAATCTCTCAAAACTTTGTTTCCTACAATCAATCTGAATATTCTACCCCTTTGCCCGACCTATTTGACCCTCCATCAGTAAATCACAGGACCGATTTTGCTCATCGAATTTAACTCGTAATTTTCTATACTAAATGTATACTAAATTTTAAGTCGATACAAATTCATTTTGACCAATAGTTTGTAGGTGATGAAAATGTGTTTTTCTTGTGAAAATGTAATGGCTCGGGCCACAAATCGGCCTTGAGTCAAAATAAACATCATTTTTGCCATTTTTTCCATATCAGTTTGTAAAAATTAAATAGTTAATGTTTTAACAAGTATACGCAGCATTAACAAATTTTTGTATAGCTAGCAAACTTTCATACAAATATGAATTCGATTAGCCCTAGCATTTCAAATTACAATTTGGAATACTTAAATATCGCAATTAAAAGTAATCCGAAGATCAAATTGTTGTCAAAAAATATTTTTCACTAGAACTACAATGAAAATACTTTTATTCGACAGAATTATTTGGATACCTATGTTCAAGATGTCGATCGTGGATAAGTAATGGGGGAAATCCAAATTATTTTTCTAAATTGGCCAATTTGCCGAACTTATGTCAAAATTGGACAGAGTTGGAAGTTATTAATTTAAAATAATTCTTGGAATTATTTCCACTAATATTTAGCCAAATTCTGACGAGCATAAGTGAGAAATTAAATATTTCTAAATTAACCCAAAATTCCCCATTTGTGCTTATATCTCGAAAACCATTGGGGGGCCACCCCTATTTTATTACAAATTTTTTATCTACAAAAAAATCCACAAATTTTGAGCCACAATTCATCAAAATAATTGGAGGCCAAAAAAACACCTTTCGATGGTATATATATATCCTAATATCCTAAATATCCTAATAAATATAAAATGAAACTCAAGGTACACATGTTACAGTAAGTTGAAAATTTGCGATGCAAGGTTTTGCGCTGAAACAGTTTTCGAATTATTTTATATTACCTGCCGGGTTACAGAAAGACCTCCGGGATAACATATTCATACTAAGAAATTATTAATGTTTTCACCCAAAATACATATCTACATAATTATCCACAACAACATCTCCCCCCAACTACTTATTTAGAAACGCGTGACAGCCATAAAAAATCCAAACTATTCACAAACTCTGAAATATAATATTTTTTAACCAATTTGTCACGACCATGCATCACCTCACATAATTTCTTTCCATCACTACAATATGTTGAGAGCCTACTATTCAAATTTGATTTTGGGCATGAAACAATGCGTACTACGACGTATGTATGTACCAGTCCTCATTTATTTATCTCTAAGTAATCGTTAACATATTATGTTTACTGGGAATTTTTGCATTAGTTAAAATAACTCCAGTTATTTGGGGTGCGAGCCTAAATAATTTCTACAATATCTCTACACAAGCTGATCTATTCGACACGGGTCAATGTTACACCTAGTCACTCACATATGCACTCTTTTAACATGCTGGCTCAAAGAATCTTTCGACGCGTATAATTTCCCACACTCGGAACAAGTAACTTCCCTCCGCAAATGTGTAACCTTGTGTCTTTTGAACGCCGCCAGAGTCTTAGCCACCTTATCACACCCATCAAACCCACAAGGGAAGCCCTCCCCCCCACCGTGTTCCCCCTCCATGTGCTCCCTTAGTGAGGCCACGGTCAAGTACGTCTTCCCACAGGAGGCCTCCCTACAAACAAACACTCTACGATGGATGGCATGCCGTGATTCCAAGTGTTTCTCCAAGCTGCACTTTACCGTAAATCCGGCCTCACAATCCCCACATTTGTAGGGTTTTTCTTGTAAATGAAAACCAGAAATATGGATTTTCAAACTAGCCAGATCACCGCACCGTTTTCCACATAGATTGCAAGCAAACGGTCTCAATTTTAGATGCACCCGCTTCTCATGCTTCGCCAAGGAGTCCCTCGTCATGAATTTCTTTGGGCAAGAGGGACACCCATAACTTCCCGGGCCAGTGGCATGCCTGCTCTCATGAGTCCTTAAGTTACTCTTTTGACCACTGGCAAACCCACATTTTGGAAATAGGCAAGAGTACGGGCGCTCCAACGTGTGAACTCGGAGATGGGTCTCCCATTCCATATTCCATCTGAAGAGTTTGGGACAAAAGTAGCATTTCAATCGAGCCACGTGGTTCACCACGTGTCTGCGCAGGCCGCTCAGGGCATAAAAAGTTTCCCCACATTTCCCAACGTCACACCTGTAACGCGCCCCATGCACAATTCTCTCATGTTTTTCCAATATTTTCTCGGTGGACAACTTTTTCCCGCATTTTGTACAAATCAATTCTTTCCTTCGGACATGAGTAGCCTCATGACGTGGAAGGGCAGACCTTTTAGCAAACTTTTTCCCACATATCGTACAGGGAAAGCCGATACCCTCATGGTGCAATTTACTGTGAACCTTTAATGTTCCCTCGTGCTTAAATACTTTCTCACACCCGGGGATTTTACAAGAATAGAATTTCCTCTCACTCAGATTTTTATGGGTTTCGCGGTGGGTGTTGAGGGCTGCCATGGTTCCATGCTCCTTGCCACACTCCTCGCATTTAAGAGGTTTCTCCTTCAGGTGGAAATGCTTCACATGGCTCCTCACGGCGACGCGAGTTGCGAAACTCTTGGAACACAAGGGGCATGGAAACGGCTTGAGTTGGAGGTGAACCGCTTCCTCATGAGTTTTGAGGTGATCCCTCCTTCCAAACCGTTTCGGACAGGAGGGGCACTGAAATACTTTACGGGCGTCGGAGTCCCCGTGATGTTTTTCGTGCCGGCGAAGTCCACCCAATTCTCGGAAGGATTTTCCACAATTGGGGAACCCACAGATATGGGGTCGTTCCTCGTTGTGGGTTTTGATGTGGGTTTGTAGAGCGGTTTTGTATTTGAATTTTTTCGGACATATGGGGCAAGGGCAGGGTCGGAGGGAGGAGTGTGTCATTGAGTGCACTTGAAGGTGATTCTTCCTCTTAAATAGTTTCCCACAGGAGGGATACTCGCATCGGAATTTCCTTTTATTACCGCCTTCGTCCTTGCGCTGGGCGGGGGAATCATTCATTATGTTGTAATTTCTGTTGGGGTAACAATTATAAAATATAGTTTTACGGATTGTGCCTTAAAAAGATGGAAAATTTTGTATTATATTTCTTATGGCGAGCGTCAAATTTTTTAAATATTTACACAGACCATGACTTAATTTAGGATAATGCATTTATTTATTATGAGTTCGTATGCATAGGAGTGAAATTGTTAAAAATTGTATTCACAACTAAACACTTCACTTTGAGATGGGCATGTTCGTAAATCAGTTTTCAAGCCAAAAATTGTTTACGAACTTGTATTCTATTTTCTTGCTGCCTATTCGAACTCGTATTGAATATATACATACATGCATATCGGCGCTGTTCGTGTAAAAGTTGTCGGATCAAAAACCAGTTGGAAACATAAGTTGTCGGATGAATTTTTGGGAGAAGTGAGACTTCATAAGTATAACATGGTATCACACTTTTCCCGCATTTTCATCCGACAACTTATGTTTCCAACTGGTTTTTGATCCGACAACTTTGGCACGAACAGCGACGATATATACCTTTATGATTTGGCAAATGTTCTACCAGATGTGTAGGAGGTGGGGACCCTTGGAAATTTGGGATGCTACTTGAACAAATCCTTGAAGATTTTCCCCTAAAAGTCAGACAATTTATGCATTGAACGTGCATATAAAGTAGTCGTAGTCGCATACATGCATAAGTCTGAAGTCACTATTTTTGAAAAAGCATTAATAATGGATATTTCAATAAGTTGCTGTGGGTCCATTGCTGCCGACTGAGCGAATTTTTTTTTGTATGAGGCGAAGATTATCTTTAGTCGCTCAATTTATAAAATTTGTAATAAGTATTTATTAGTTTAATTGGAGGACAAAATTTAGAGGAAAACTTAAATAAACTTACTCTCGACTTATGTACACATGCCTGTCCATACGTTAAATTTGTATTATAAAGTGTGTCAACTTTTATAAATTTTTATTGTATTGAAATTTGTTATAATCATTACCTTATAAATTAAATAATAATTATTCCTTCAGCTCGTGCCTGCAATTTAAACACCATCACCAAGAACTCTCCTACCGGTCTTACTCTATAAGAAAGAATGAGCCGGAGTATTGTAAATGGATGGAATGCATTCTGTCTCCGAAAGCAAAAATAAACTCCAACCCTTTGTGATTAACAGTATGAAAATATTGTTCTGAGAAAAAGAGAAGGGCGAGTGGGTAAAATATTCCAAATGTTTAAGTTGTGCCTCAGGAAGAAAGTATGCCTAGCCCAGATTTTGTCTCCCTTTCAAAATGATGTTGTACTACACTCTTAAAAATCAGGTAGAGTCAAAGCGCAGCTAATGATTTCTCGGTAATAAATTTGGTAATGATTCGTTTTATGAATTTTAAGGAAAGCTAAATAGATGTTATGGCCCCATTGGCACAGGCAAAGCCCTCTCAATGAATTTTCAACAATTAGAATTTCCGCATTAAAACATCTTAAAAAATAATAAATGCACGATACACAAGTAGCGCAATAATGCTGAGAATGCATCACAAAATAAAACGAATAATTCTCCGAGTCATATTTTAATAATGCCCAAAAGTCAATCAATTAATGATCAAATAATTATCTCTAATTGACCATAATGGCCATATTGCGACATGTCGACAACACCGAAAAACATGTTTGCCAAAATTTCATGCATATCGCCGAAAAAATGCCGAAATTAAGCCAAAACAATTTAATTTAACTGGATTTCATCCATAGATTAATTTGCGCTATAAATCTCATTTTGCCCAGATCACACCGCGACCGCACCCCCTGGCGCCGAGGAGGTGTGGTCCAAGAGTTTGTGGGATCCTCCCCCTGGGGTCATATGTATGATGCCGCAAACCGATTTCGATTATCTTGATGCGTTCTTGAGTTATAGTGTTGACAGACAGACGGACAGACAGACTAACTAACCGATCGCATAAAGTAGCTTGCGCTACTTAATAATACTGACAAGATTTTGGTAATTTTGATCCTGCATCCTTGTATTACACATATTCAAAATCATTTTGATTTCAAAATGCTCATCATCTTCTTTGTAATTCTACCGTTTTTATGCATTAATAGTTTTTCAACACAAAACTAATAGTGTGCATACTGGTAGAACTTATAATTTTATGAAATCCATCATCAATTAAAATGTCGGTGTTCTTTCTGTCGACTGGATAATCAAATAATTTTGCTAAGTTGTAAATACGTAGAATTAAGCGATATTTACAGATATACGAGTAAGCAATACACTTACAGTTACAGGAAGCGATCATACATGCGTAGGAATTTTGCCATTGTCCAAGCACATCAATGGATTTGATACATATGTATTAATCAAATTGACAGCTGGAGATCATCAATCATTCTCGTTTTTTACCCCTCCCTCCCCCTCATACAAATACATATGTTGCGAGATAGGAATTTTAACATGGGAGGGATATACGACCTCAGACCGTTCCCTATCCCCCCTCTTGCGTTACGTACTTTATGAACGTTCCCTAAGGTGAATCACTCTGATTTACGAGACAATATAATTTGTAATGGGTGAGCTTATCATTGTCTGTTTAACTACACCTGCCTACAACGTAGTTAAACCGATAAGCTGGATTCCATTGGAAAATAGACAACATTAATCTATTTTAGTAGATAAACTCAACAAATATTTGCCACGTCAGGATTCAGACTGACAATGCGAAGCCATGAAGTGTTACCCTCAGATTTAGATGGGACTAATTTTATTTTGTTCTTGCCCCAAAATGAATAGAAACGGGTTTTTGCGTTTTCGAGAATACGGCCGTTTTGGCACTTTGCGGGAATTTCGAAAAAAAATTCCAGCCAAAATCTCGGATTTTCAAATTTCTCTAACTTTTTGAATTTTGGCGAGAATTGGAAAAACTCAAGACATGTAGGCTTAGAATTACTTCCTCTACGATATATAAATTCAATTTCAAAAAATTTTGAAAATTTAAATTTTGCTGGCATTTTGCAAATTATAAGATTCAAAAACTGGTTAAAAATTTAAATTTTCAAAAAATTTTGAAATTGAATTTAGATATTGTAGAGGAAGTAATTCTAAGCCTACATGTCTTGAGTTTTTTCAATTCGCGCCAAAATTCAAAAAGTTAGAGAAATTTGAAAATCCGAGATTTTGGCTGATATTTTTTTTATTAAATTCCCGTAAAACACCAAAGCAGCCGCATTCTCGAAAACGCAAAAACCCGTTTCAATTCATTTTGGGGTAAGAACAAAATAAAATTAGTCCCATCTAAATCTGAGGGTAACACTTCACGGCTTCGCATTGTGAGTGATCATGTCAAATTTATTTTTGATCCAAAATGGCAGTCCGAATTAATTGTCCAAATTCCGGTACATTGATTGATAGAGGTAAAACCGTACAATTTAATTTTGCTAGATATCAAGCACTGCAGATGTATATGTAATCACAGACTAGGAAATTAAAATAATAAAATAATCCTGATAGAAATACAATAAGAATATGAGTCAAAACAAATATAATACAATATTGTGAGTCAGGGTATAATTTTATTGCGTAATATTTTAAGACTTTGGGAACATTGTGTCCTTAATTGAGCAATTTAATTGCAGGATCTCTTCCCAAAAGATATCCAATTAGGAACAGCATAAGCGTGACAAAGGCCAAGATGATATTTTCCTTTCTCTCAAGATGTAACTGCTGCTCCTTTCTCCGATAGTAGTCATCTCGCACGGCCTTAATACTGCACTCCACCACTCTGCCCACTCCTGTACAAGAAGCTACAGATGCGTCACAGACCGCCTTACTGCAAGTGCAGATTGAAGATGTACTGGCTGCACTGGCCGTACTGGGAGCAGTCGATGAACCACTCCCCATATCAGACGAGCTACCGCTCCCCATGTTTTATACGATGTCTCACCACAGACGGTTGTGCCAAGTTGTTGTCTTCTGAAAATTAATTTCAAATTCCGAAATGGGAAACATTTTTCACTACTGCATATTGTACAGTCTTAGTTTTATTAACCGATCAAATGCTTCACGTGGGACTAAGTTGCGGATATATGGAATACATAGTTACCTGGGCAGTATTTAGCCTCTAAGCAAGACCAATGAGGAATCTGAACTATTAAAATCGCAGGAACTGTAGTGTGTCAACCTTATTTATAAATAATTTGGAAACATACCAAGCAAATTGCATGGGATGTTGTCTAGTATATCCCTAAATTGTGTGACTGTTCGCTGCCGTACGGTGCATCACTCTGATTGACAAAACAGTATGGCTTGATCTGGGTGGAACTTATCATTTCTGGTGTAATTAAACTGATAAACTGGATTCCATTGAAAAATAGATAGCATTAAACGATCCATTTTAACAAATAAATTCAATAAAGATATTTGCCACGTCAGCTTTTACACTGCGTAGATTGAGTGAAATTTATTTTTGATCCGAAATGCCAGTCGGAAATAATTGGACGAATTATAAAAATCTGTTGGAGGAGGTGAAACCCTACGATTTAATCGAAATTAGTAGAAATATGTTCTGCCATTAGGCAATGTACATCGGGAAGGGAGTTGTTGTACATGTCGTCCAAGGAGAGTCCGGCAACGAAAGTGTGGAAACATTTGGCAAAAAGGGTTTCGAAATGTTATCCGACGTTGTTGGAGATTGCGAGTGCAGAATTAATAATTTGGATAAAATTGCCGGGAACACTGGGTTAAGGAAACAAGAAGATTTGAAGATATTTGAAAATTTTAACGAACCTGAACTGTTTTCCGGGTCTAAAGTTGATGTCCCGTATTCATTGTTGGAAAAAAATTGCGAATATTATGTGAAGGTATGGAGATATGGGAAAAGATTTACGGTACAGGTAAATTGGGGGGATGAGAATTTTTTGAGAATTAATTTATCCTAAGAAATATTACACTCAAAATAAAGTTGTAAGAATTCTCACCGTGCGTGAACGCACTACAATAATGCTCTACCAGCATTGGTAACTATTTATCTACAATTTTTGGCTAATTTTTGCGCAAATTATAAATTTGTTAATCCCCGGTGGGAAAATTGATACCATAGCGTAACAAATTTGAGTGTAGCGCAAAATATTGTCACAATTTGTCGATAAATTATTGCCAAGCCTGGTAGAGCATCACTATATAGTGAGTTCACACGGTGAGGATTCTGACCACTTTATTTTAAGTGTGTAAATTAAAAATATTGATATTTATTAGGGGGAAATGGGTATCAAGGTCGGAATAGCTTTTCTCAAACTACTTTCTGACGAGGACATAGAGGCAGAATCGACACCTGACAATTTCTGGGAATTGAGGTTTAGTGAGGAAGATAGAGATCATTGGGTTGAATGGATAGAATCCAGAACTACGAATGCTAAAAGAATTCCAATGCTAACCATGGGTATTTTTATTCTACTAAATCATCTCGGTTGTCCTTGGATTTGGATTGCAATCGGGAAACTGCTATCACCTATAATTGTGGCGTGTTTGGCTTCAAAATTTCCTGCTGTAATTCGATTTTGCGCTCTGTTACTGCTGGTTAACTCACCATTTTGTGAATTAATTGCGTCATTCGGATTAGGATGTTGTATGAAAGGAAGTCGTAATCCTGTCTGGAAAATAATATCATGGATTTCCGTGTTCTTTTTAGCCATGCTACAGTTGCTACTGCTGCGTTTGCATCTTTCTTTCTTGTATATTGTGTATCCAATGTGCAACCAGTGTTGAAATATATGGTAAAAATTAAGGAAAAATTTTTTGAACTTTTTGAAATACCACAAGGTGAATTTGACATTTGAAATTTTGAGGAAATGCTTAATATGATAGTCATACATAGCTTCAAGGCGGGTTAGTGTGGACACTTTTCGGAAAATTAAATTTATTTTATAAAATAAAATATCATTACAATGCAAAATTAATTGTTTAAAAATTACTAGAGGATTAGTTAACTATTAGACTTCATATTACAGACATCAAATTTTGTAGAATATAATTTAAATTCGTAGTGTCAAGTGCCAAATAGTATGTACTTATGTAATGATTGTGTAATGCTAAGATATTCATTATTTAACTTCAGTCACTTCCGACTTGACATAGATTTTTTAAAATGACAAATCTGGCCTGTAAATTGGAAACTGTCCTCGCAGATCGGTCTCAACTTGCTGGTTTTAACTGGATATGTAATTTTATCAGCACTTTTAGCTTCGTAAATTTGAAATAGAATTATTTTATTTTCCAATGAATACTACCTTCTTGGCACGAATTATCATTAATTTCGCGAATGCTTCCTCGAATATATAAATTTTCTGACATAAAAATGAATTCATATTCAATATCAGAAAAATAAATACGCCTATATTTTTCCTGTAACAATGCGATGGTGTGAAGTGCAACTCTCCGATTTGGCTGAAATTTTGGAATTGTGCAGTCCCCGTCAATACCACTAACGTTTCTTGAGGCAGTTTGTGGGATGGTTGGGATTTGTCGAAATATTTGAGGTCATAGTTGAAAAACAGGTGATTTTTACCAAGCGGAGGAAGAAAACTCCACGTCCATGTGTCTCAATAGGAAAAATCGCCAGTTTTTCAACTATGACCTCAATTATTTTGAGAAATCCCAACCATCGCACAAACTGCCTCAAGAAACGTTAGTGGTATTGACTTGGACTGCATAATTCCAAGATTTCAGCCAAATCGGAGAGTTGCACTTCACACCATCGCATTGTAAGTACATAGAGGGTGACCTTGGTCTTTGTAACTTTCCATTTTTTAAATAAAATTTTCCGTTTCTTTTACATGTATCAGATAATTTTCACTTCGAAATTATGTCAGCGAAACTAAAGCATTCCTTTATACATTTTCTCATCTTGTGATTTGGCAGATAAGAACTATATTAAAATTGAGTACCCAAATTTTCATCAATGACAAAATTTTATCTCAAGCTTAATTTGCACACACAAGTTGAAATTTAATCCATTTCCTTGAATTCTTAATTTACTATTAATGGATAGTACTTGAATAAGTAATAACTTTAACCACAGTATTGGTCGAAATATCAATAAATCGGAGCCGCCTAGCTCATAAATCCTGAAGCGTGCGTATTCTGGTTATAGTTAACCAAGTGATACATAAGTAAAATAAAGAATACCACCGCCGCGATGTACACGAAATAAATTAAATACAGATAGTGTTATAATAAAGTTACGGGTAACCTAAAAAAACCCCTCTCTTCGAATACATACACTACACCCAATTATTCTGAGCCCGATTTTTTTCGCCGCACCAATAATGGAAAATCTTAAAATGAGGTCGAGATTTCAAATTGATTTTTTTACAATTTATCTATCATGTATTTGTCATCTTGCATACAAATTTGCAGAACAATTGGATTAATATAACTTGCTTAAAAAAATCTCATCCATCAGAAAATGCAAATAAAGCGCCAAATAATTGTGAGCCCTCACATGTTTTCTGAAAACAAATAACTTAAAAAAACCGAATCCGCTCGTCAACATCTAATTGTTTTATAAATTATTACTAGTACCTTCTTCTAATATAAATTAAAATTAGTTTTGATAAGAAGAAGAGATAAAATGTCTCATAAGAAGGAAGTGAGCATGGAGGTCAGGAATAAAATTGTTGCTTATCGCGAAAACGGTCTCAGTTTTGGGAAAATCAGTGATAAAGTGAAAATTTCGAAAACTGGGGTTGGAGGTATTATCAGCAAGTGGAAAAATACTGGAACCGTGGCGAATCGGAGTGGACGTGGAGCAAAACGCAAGACAACAGTTCGGCAAGACTCAGCAATTTTGCGGAAGGTCCAAGTAAACCCTCGCCTGTCGGCTCCAAAAATCGTTGCTGAAGTGAAACAAGAGTTTGGTATTTCAGTTACACCTCAAACTATTCGAAACAGATTAAATTCAGCTGGATTAAAGGGGAAGGTTGCAAAAAAGAAGCCATGGATTTCATCAAAAAACCAGAGGAAACGTTTGGCATGGGCACGGGAGAAGGCAACTTGGTCAATTGATGATTGGAAGAAGGTCCTTTTTTCTGATGAGACCAAAATACTACTCTTTGGATCAGATGGCATCACTCGAGTGTGGAGGAAGCCAAAGGAAGGCTTGAAAAAAGAAAATCTCAGGCCAACTGTGAAGCACGGTGGAGGTAACATAATTATCACGCCATGAATTTTAGGGACTTGGCCTAAATTTTTATTTTTTCCGCAGGCAGGCTGATGGTGTAGGGCAGTATGTCGTGGGGAGGAGTCGGGACGTTGGAATTCATCGAAGGCATTATGACAAAAGATGTATATCTCGACTTGTTGAAGAGAAACCTTAAGCAATCGGCAACCAAGTTAATAATGGGTCGACGATTCACGTTCCAACAAGACGGTGACCCAAAGCACACTGGCAAAATCATTCCCAAATGGCTAAAGGATAACAAAATTAATATTTTGGATTGGGTTGCACAGTCACCTGACTTAAATCCAATCGAGCATTTGTGGTCAATTTTGAAAAGACGAGTAGCTGAGCAACGCCCTACCAATTTGGCATCATTAAAGGAAGTCATCTCAGATGAGTGGTGGAAAATCGATGAAAAGGTGACCAGACCATTAGTGGAGTCTATGCCAAGAAGAATTTCTGCAGTTATCGCAGCAAAGGGGGGCCATACCAGATATTAATTTTAAATTAATGTGAGGGCTCACAATTATTTTGCGCTTGATTTGCATTTTCTGATGGATGTGATTTTTTTAAGCAAGTTATATTAATCCAATTGTTCTGAAAATTTGTATGCAAGATGACAAATACATGATAGATAAATTGTAAAAAAATCAATTTGAAATCTCGACCTCATTTGAAGATTTTCCATTATTGGTGCGGCGAAAAAAATCGGGCTCGGAATAATTGGTTATAGTGTATGTGCATACATAAAATTAGTATTGAACTCTGCCGCTGTGATGCTACAACGAACGCGAATAGTTTTTTCTGCTGGTCAGAATTTCAAGATGATGCTGTCATACATACGTCCACAGCTTTGTGCCCATTCAATTTCATCAGTCCGTCGACTTCCAGTTCCTCATCCGTCTTACAAATATGGGCCCTTGATGATAAATATCCTTTATTCGAATTCTCTCCACTACGAAAATTCCTACCTGAGCCATGCATTTCCACATCTCACTTCTTCTCACTGCACTCTAGATTCGAATCAAGTGCTCATCTTCTCCTACTTATATATATACACATCTATGAAATATGTGTGTATAGATAACATCTGTCAAGCAGGGTTCAATGAATGTTCAGAGAGTGGAGTTTACTCCATTATTTAATTGGTTATGTGAAAAAACACGTGTGCCTGTCTATATTGAAATAGTTATGTTGCTATGGACTTTGTTCCATGTGCTTCCTCGTGTACAGACATGGGCAAGATAATTATCTCCGATACAAGATCAAGATAAAAGATCAAGATAATATCTCATCTTCTATCTTGAACCAAATCGATTGATCCTGATCTTGATCTTGATCTGCTGCTCGGCGATCTTTTATCTTGATCTTGATCTTTATCTTCTCAAACACAAAAGTTATACCAAATAAAAACCATTAATTCTGGATTTATTAAATTCACAATTATTTAACATGAGATAATATAAAAAATGCGCAAGTGCACGATTAAAAATATTTGCTGATCAGTACCACTTGATTTTATGTACCATTTGATGGAGTTTACTTGATCATATTAACTTGATCTTAATCTTATGCAACATGTACAAGATAGTTTTAAAAATATATTGCAGTGGATAAGATTGTATGCAGAGAAACCCGATATACGTCACATATTGTACCTAATATTCATTATAATAATAATATTGGTAACAAATCTGTTCAATATCGGGCAGCAGTAGCATGGGCTTCTCTTCCGGAGGAGCTTGTATCGCATATGTGCATAAATACCAATAGAAATATGTTATACCCTACATTTACATACACGTGCATAAGGATATAAAAATTTGCAAGGATGGTTAACGGAAACTAATATTAAAGTGTTTCCCATAACGCGAGCATTGTGAATATTTTACCTGGGAAGTTTAAACATTATGCATATGTAACATGGCATTTCATGTTGGACAACTCACGTGTAAACATGTAGTATGCCAATACGTTTGCAAATGCTAAGTGGTCAATTATCTGCAAAAACTGATCGAATGGACGGGGCTTCAAATTTTTGTAGCCCCGTCCATCTGCGAATTTAACTAAGTTACGCCTTGCAATATCGTGTTCCTCCATTTATCATGAAATTAGTGAATTAAACCAAGAACCTTTGGTAAATATCCAATTAAATTATGTGACTATTGGGGCACAAAAGATCTAATCTACACAAATTGAAGCGTCCCAATAATAGCGACCAAATTGGGTTGAAAATCAATATTTGTACAACTATGTAATCGAAATGCCAATTTAACACCCCCTATAAGGGGCATGAAATCAACGTTGCACAATAAGCAGATGAACGTAATCCACATACTTACTTATGTCCATATGCATGTAGGAATTTAATTGTATGTTTACGCTCAACATACTTTCTTGTGTAATACTGATTTTTTGAAATTGTGAAATCAGTATTTCCTTTGGTTCACATTGTATACTTACTCAGAATTGTGTTTAAAAAAATGAAAACTACTAATTTCCCAATTAGTCTTTTCATATTTTCAGTAGCATCCAATTTTACAGAATCACAATACAAGCTCAAACTGCCATCAGAAGTGTTGATCACTGTAATCTCCAATTTTTGTATTCGAGGGGCGCCAAGTATGCACCAGATAAGAATCCTACACTCTGGCTTGTCGGCTTCAAAAAATCAAGATTACGAAACATTCCTCTATTTCCAACATTGTTTCCACCCTACAAACAACAACTCTTACCAAGTGGAACTACCATCTTCATTTTACAAGTCACTTCATGGCCTGCGTTATCTTAATCCTGAAAATAATTTAAGGCTGTTTGTCGAGGTTAAGAATTTTGACATGTCGGCGTTCCTCCCGCCAACGCCGCAAATAAATCTCATTTACCTACAAGGGAAAACTATCGAGTCATGGATACCTTCTTTTAATTTACTCCTGGAAATTGACACCCCAACATATTTTTTGGTCGATATATTGGGTTCGAAAAATTTAGTTCTAATCTAAGTTCTTTCAATATTCTTAAAACCAAATTTTGTGAGAAAGTATTTTCTCAATCCCTCAACTTCAGATTTATAAAAAACCTCATACATAACAAAGAATAATAACAATATGAACATTTATTTTTCAGGACCTGACGAGCAATCCTCTTCACTAGGATTATTGTTAGCCTCAAACATTTTCCACACTAATGGTTTCTGGAGGCCTGAATCGCATTTATCTCAATTAACCCTGCGTACAAAAAATATCACAACCGACGAGCTTATCACCACTTCAGTTCAACAACAGCAGAATTTTCATGGACAAAAGCTCCTTTGGCGGGCAGTGCATGGAGTCAAGTTCCTTAACTTTGGTCACCTTTGCGACACATACCTAAAATTCACGTCAAGGTTGGAATGTATCCCAATCTTCCCCTTAGTCTTTGCCTTAACAACCTCGCTAAATGCGACCCTAACTCTACGTTCCATCCTCACCAAGGCCGACAAACAGCTGGACTTCCACTTTCCAGAATTATACCTTCGCCGAGTTTCAACCCAAGGTGAACCCGCCACCACTATATCCGAGGAAGAACCCCCTTCCTTCTACCTGCTGGAGTACACCGACACAGTTCTGCCCATTTACTGCATGCCTGTCGACGCCGTTGAACTGGTAACGTCCTCGAACTTTTTAGTACCAATGCTGTCAATTGACATCTACAGCATTCTACTCTTTGTCTTGGCATCCTTCTGTTATGCGGCAGTTCAAAAGAAATGGCTCGCCATCTTTCATCTGAGTCGCTTCGTCCTACATCAAGTTCACTGCAATAAACCCAACTCTGGCACTAGAGCCAGGGTTGCACTTCTTGTCTGTCTCTGTTGTATGAGCATGAGCGCCTTTTTTGAAGGTGGGATAACCAGTGGACTCGTGGCGCCTGACAAACCCATTGTATTCCACTCTTTAGCTCTACTTCACAAGGCGGGATACAGAAGCCTATACACCGGAATTTCTGGTGAAATGGACAATGTAGAGAAAAAGTTTCAAAAGACTGCGACGATGGAGTCGAACTACACAACAGAAAGTGGGACATGCTTCAAACTTTACTTCTTTAAAAATAGCGTGGATCAGATTGCCAATATTGTTCGAACGTCGGAACATTCGGTTAGGATGTCTCGGACCGGAGCGGTTTTAGTAGAAGGCGAAATGGCGCAAACTTACATCAAATACATGGCGAGGAAATTTCCCAATTTATCCTGTTTTGATGTAAGTGGGGAACACATGGATAAATTGGGTGGGAACGGTCCCATGCCGAATGTTGGGTTCAGATGGGAGGGAAAGTACAAAGGGGCCCGAAGGATTCGTGCCATTCTGGAAGGATTTGCCTCGGCTGGAATTGGGAAATTTTATCGGGAATTTCTTAACTATCGACTGAAGCTAGCAAATACGGAATTCGAGCCGTCAGCGGATAACGATGAGACGGAAAATCTTAACGAGAAGTCTGAGTTTGTGACGCTAAAGGGAACCGGGCAAGTTTTTAAACTTTGCGGTGTTCTCTGGCTTGCGTCTGGGATTATTTTAGTGTGTGAAACTATATGTTATGCTTTAAAATCTTTGAAATAAAGTCATGGACTTATGTATAGTACTGTGTAATATACATACTAGGATCATCTACACACAGGATCATCACCCCACCAAATACATACATGTATAAGTAGCACATTTTCCAAATTAAACTAATTTTTATGCTGATTTTTAATTATTAATTAAAATGGGACTATGTTCAATTATTCCAGTTATTTTAAATTACAATGAGGGAGGCAGGATCGATAATACATTTTTCATGGGACATGTGGTATTGATTTCTATACGTGAATATTGATTATAATTTTGTATTCCATTGAACCAATTTTTGATTATAATGAAATAAGAAGAATTATTTTGCCAACCACAATGGTGATGTTAAGGTTCGCGAAACAGGAATTAAGTATGTCATTTCTGAGGAGCAAAAGAATAAAGGACCCAAGAGTGATTGGCGGTGCGACTATTGTCGCCCATATTGGGATGAACAAGTGGACGTTTCCTGGGGTATCCGGGCAACTTCTCCTCTTACTGCACAGTAAGTGCTGTAACATGACCAATAAAACTTGTATTTTTTATTCATTCTAGTCAAGAAATACATTCACAGAGGAAAAAATATCAGTTCAAATCATCATTATATAAAACATAAATAAATAAAAAGTACACATGCTGATCTCAGGTCGTCGTCTAAAAAAATTGGTGCAATATTACATAAATGATGAGCTTACCAACTCATTAGCCGGGCAATAGTCCTCAGGTGTGGATGAGGGTGTGTATAAAATTCTTGTGCCACGTCCAGTTTGCCAAAGAGGTTTACTTTCTGTTGAGAAATACAACCACTTCCTACTTTTGCACTGCGCTCTTTATATTTTTTGTAGCAAAAGAGCAAATGAATTAAGTTGTTTAGGAAAGGGTCAAGAATTACTCCGAAAGTTTGTCACAGATACAAATTTGTTGTCTGGAGGGGATTTTCTTGTATATAATATGCATAGTCTTTTACATCTACCAGATGACGTTAAAAATTGTGGCAAATTAGATAATTATAGTGCATTTCCGTTCGAAAATTACCTGCAGACGATTAAAAAAATGTTACGAGCTAAGAGCTGACCCCCTTGAGCAAACTGTAAATAGGATATCCGAACTATCAATTGTTACAAGATCAGAAACCACATCACGAACAAAAAGATTTAAGATTATTGGTGAAGCGAGTTTCTCCATCCGTCCGAAAAAAGGTGAAAATTGTTGTTTAGCTAAAAATGGTGCAATTGTAATTATAACTGAACCGTTAGAACAAGGAACATTTAGATATAGAACGTTTCATAATATTAAAAATTTTTACATTGAACCAATTCAAAGTTCGATTTTGTCAATTTTTCTTGTAGACAATTTGACAGATGATGAGAAAGTAGGGGACATCTCTATGTTAATGACGAAAGTTTATTTAGTACCATATAAAGGTTGTAAATTTGTAGCGGTACCGTTACTGTAGTTGATTATTTATGTAAATTTTATGTTTTATGTTGAAATAAAAATAAATAATAAATAAATGAGTACGAAGTATGTATATTTGATTTGATTCTGCACTAAATCAGCATTAGAATCAAAGTTGAATTTGGCTTCGAAGCGTCTTTAATCCAATCATGAAACAAACGTAATTCAAACTAAATTCAAACCATAATTTGACTTGTGGACAGATTTGTTCCAAATCAAGATCACAAGTTTGCTGCCATCCAGAAATGGTGGACAAATCGTGCTTTCCTACAGATCAAACCGACAGATTTGGAACAGAGCAGATCCAAGTTAACATTGTTGACTGGGTAATAGTTAATTTCGTTAACAAATTAACGTTATGCGTTAAATGTGCTTCATAAGAATTTTGAAAAATCCTGGCTCACCCGTTGTAAGTAAAAAAAATATAACTAGGTTGACCCAAAATTCCCAAATCTCGGCAAGGGACTGTCCAGAAAGCATGTGATCGATTTGGGGGGAGGGGGGTCAAACCATCCCATCCTTCCCATGTTAATTATGACATGGGGCATTTAGATCACCAGGGTGAGAGGGGTAAAAATCGATCACGTGATTTATGTATGTACAGCCCCTAAAGAATTTATTACCATGTCGGAACTGTAAATGACTGGACAGTTGTGCTATCAATTGAAGATTTGTGACGCAAATTCTGCTACCGTAATATATTTAATTTTTCAGGCATGTCGTCTCTCGACATTCTGAATTATATCCTGATTGATCATACAAACAGTTTACAAAATTGATGTACCCGTCGTGCCTGCCAGTTGTATGTATGTTTTCGGTGCCAAACAAACGTGCTAAAAATGTAGGTCATGAATACTTTGTGAGTTATGAAATTGTTGGTGAAAACAAGTAAAACATACAGGGAAAAGTATGACCTTTGACAGGTATATGGTTTTTAATCAGCGAATTTATATCGTCATCCTATTGTGAATTAATTTCTACTGAAACATTATTCTTTTGACATGTATGCGTTGAAGAATGTAGCTTAAAGCAACAAAAATGTGACTAGCTGATCCAAAACAATCCTTGATATTAGGAGTGACGTTGATCTATCTACAAATGTGTCATTCCCAGATTCAACTTTTAAAGGCGAGCATGACGCAATATATTTCTCTTCCCATCTCGACATCTTCTTTAATCCTTGCCTTGCTGTCTTGATAAATTCTTCAGATCTTGTATACGGGAAGGACCAACGTTTGAAGAGAAATAGAATCAATACGAAACAATCGAAGGCCATGAAATAAAATAGTATCAAAACAGGCAACGGGATCTGGTCAGTGGACGTCAGGATGATATATAGGGATGCACTAGTCAGCAGGATTGTGCCACCAATAATGGCCTGCATCATTGGGTCTATGCAGAAATTTTTTAGTAAGCGAGATAACAATTGGAGTTCTCTATATTGAAGAAGTGACATCCTGCGGAAGTATTCTTCAGAACCCAGATCCCTGGAAAACGATTATTTATGGCTGAATTTTTAAAAGAAGAAACTAATATTTTAATACTTGTCAGGCATTACCCCTCCTCAGTGACCTCACTCGGGTTCAGTGTACCTCGGTGGGCAATGTTATGACCCAAAACGCACGATTAGTTGAATCTGTCGTTTAAGGTGAGAAATTTATGTTAATTTTACGGTCGCCTGAACCCGAACGTGGTGACTGAGGATGGACGTTGGTTGACCAGTTGTCAAGAATTAGTTTCTTCTTTTAAAAAGTGAACCATAAAGTGAACCAGAAATGCATACAGTTATCTCTTATTTTTCTTGTTACTTGATGAAAACCAGTCATGTCGGGCCTAAAGCAAGACGTAAAAGCCGGCGTAAAGTACATATTTTACTGATTAAGATGAAACGATTTATCGAATCTTAATATATTTAGCAGGGTAGCACTGTTTCCCGAAATTATAGAATCTTGGGTAAAATGAGAAATATAGAAAGGTTTGAAACAACAGGAATATGCATATGCATAGTTCGGCTGATAGCATGAATATTGGATACTTGAAGATTTGACGGATAGACTTTTGAATGTTTCTGGACATTGGGGGCTAGATGTCAGCTTCGATATGCATATGGTATCCGTCGAGCTATGCGACTATATACAGGAGCGTACCTTTTTAATCCATTTAAGAGCAGAAGTTGTACTTCAACTGCAAGCAGAAGGGCAATTAAGCCAAATACTGGTGTGCTGGGGACAAGACGACCTGTATAGGCGGCGACGAAGGCTTGTATAATTCTTTCTAAGAAAGGTCCGGACGTGTCGTTCCAATCCTTGCATGGAAACGTTGCCATGGTGAGGAACGCAGGTGGCATGCAAGGTTTAACGAAAGTAGTGATAGCAAATGTGATCGGCGTGGTTGTTAACGTTGAGATGGTGAGGAGCGTAATGCCAATAAAATAATACTCAACGTACCCACGGAAACCCGTTTTTAAGTATAAAATAACTTAACTACTTAAAACTAGGATTCCCCTTTTACATGTCATCATTTTTTTCCAATGAAAACAAAATCATGAAAAATTTTACTTGAATCGTATGACATCAAGTTGTTTTGCAAAACAAGTAATCAAATTTGGAGCTGTAAACCACAGTATGTAACGAAATTAATGATTCATGCTCCCTTTCAAATTTCAACATTATTTTTTTACCATGTATGCATCATGTATCTGTCCGCAAATCTGCCAAATTTCAGACAAATTGGACTAATTTTAAGTAGTACAGGAAAAATTGAATTTCAAAAAATTAAATTTTAACGCAGTGCGACTCATGCGCACGCTATGATTAATTTCGTTACATACTGTATATGGAGACGCGAATTCAAAATTTTGACCAACCTTTCTGCCGATGTTTCCCTTCCGAAATAATCGAAGAATTAAAAACACATAAGGTTTCCGTCGGGACACGGAGAAGGTGCAGTAGGCCGAAGCAAGTAGCTGCAACTAGGACTAGAAAGACCGTCATAAGGATTTGTTTCCAGTTTTTAGAGATAACACCTGCACTCGAACTTTGAATTTGAAACCATTTCAATATTAGCAACAATTGAAGCAAGAGAGATCCAATGGCAGAGGAGATTTGAAGAGGGGCCCATTTTTCTTTGTTATGGCGGAGATATTTTTTATCATCTAAAATGAAAGGAAATGCGTGGCTCCAAAGGATGCTTTTGACAATAACCTGGCTGATCGAGGTGTAGGAAGATACTGTTCCATTGTAGGACAACAGATATTGCTTAATGGAAACCTTGAGATTTTTGAATTGGGCTGCAATTTCCAAAAATAGGGAAGCCGGACTGGAAAGCATTTCCATACTGGTAGGATCACTGCTTCTTGTAAATATAGTAGGGGCGACACTTTGGGGTTCGGTGGATTTCAAATCATTGCCTTATGCATTGCCTCGCGAACCAAATTATGAGGCCGGTTAGAGTTTTTGTTATTCAATAAGCTCTTACAAATGTAACGGCTTTGGTAGCAGGGCGAAACAAGCCGTTCCCCAAAATATTATTGGACTAACCCCCTGATCTCGAGACGATTGACGCAAAATAAGATTCAATCCTAATATGTTCGTATATTGCTGCAAATCGGTTTTGATGATCTCGAAAGGAAATTGTAATATTTTGCGAAAGCAAGTTTAGTTTCAATAAATCGATATTTTCTTGACTACGTAAACTAGAGTTTTCATTCTAATAAATATTGTATTATATGAGACCTGTTATCCTTGGATTTTGGCCGGATATTTTTTCAATGCAAGCCATGGATTTTGTTGATCAGCTAAATCCAAAACTGGATCGAGTTTCTGGAAATTTTTGTGGACTATCTCAACTCAATTCTGGGTTTGACACTATATTTTCTATATTAAGGATACTATATTAAGGCCAGGGGTGAAATTAAGGAGAGACTTGGCATTCGATGCGGCTTGGGAGGAATTAGTTGCTGAAATGTCAACTGAAAGAAAACAATGAATATATTATATCCTTAGACGGAGATACCCCAGTCGATGGGCAAAGTCGATCGATGGGCAATTTTATTACGTATTTAGGTAGACATCCGCAAGGTGATTGAATAAGCTATGAATACTTGAATTTGCAGGGTTTGTTACATATTTAATGTTTGGCGGGACACATGCTTCCAAATTATTCAGAGTGCATTTCATACACCGTTTAAACTCTAAATAATGCAGAAATGTCAAATTTGTTGGTAAAATTCTAGTATCGTACTTGCATGCCTATTTACACAAATCTATATGATTCGGTAAAAAGGTGTTACCAGACGGCAAGCTGGGACTGACGTTTGACTGACCCGGGACGGAATGATTCCAACCAATCGGCCTAATTTTTTCAAGTTAAAAAAACGATTGATTTTTGCGTAGTGACCCGAGTTTTAAACTATCATAAAATTTACTTGACGGAATTTAATGTCAATTTGTTGAATGTGCTTCATAAAAATTTTGAAAAATCCTGGCTCACCCGTTGTAAGTAAAAAAATATGACTAGGTTGACCCCAAATTCCCAAAACTCGGCAAGAGACTGTCCAGAAAGCATGTGATCGATTTGGGGGGAGGGGGGTCAAACCATCCTATCCTTCCCATGTTAATTAAAACATGGGGCATTTAGATCACCAGGGTGAGAGGGGTAAAAATCGATCACGTGATTTATGTATGTACATCCCCTAAAGAATTTATTACCATGTCGGAACAGTAAATGTCTGGACAGTTGTGCTATCAATTGAAGATTTGTGACGCAAATTCTGCTACCGTAATATATTTAATTTTTCAGGCATGTCGTCTCTCGACATTCTGAATTATTTCCTGATTGATCATACAAAATTGATGTACCCGTCGTGCCTGCCAGTTGTATGTATGTTTTCGGTGCCAAACAAACGTGCTAAAAATGTAGGTCATGAATACTTTGTGAGTTATGAAATTGTTGGTGAAAACAAGTAAAACATACAGGGAAACGTATGACCTTTGACAGGTATATGGTTTTTGATGAGTTGCGTAAATAAGGATTGGCAAAATTTTAAAGGGATCACGAGAATATCTGAGTCGCCAAATAATTGAAAAAAAGTTTACATAAAATCAACTTGCGATGGAGGTCTCCCAACGTATGTATGCTCACAGATTTGGACGAAACTAGCGTCAATCGATCACAAATTTAATTAGTATGAAATTTGCAAATGCAACTATCTGCCATTGCGCATGTCTGGCGGAGATTTTTGCATCCCAAGAGTCGAAAACGGGCCACAAATGCAACCATTTTTTCCCTTTTCGAGTTGTGCATTACAAATTTGAGCGTTTACGCCACTTTGGATGCAAATATCTCCGCTAAACCTGCGCATGGGCAGATAGTTGGATTTGCAAATTTCATACTAATTAAATTTGTGATCGATTGACGCTAGTTTCGTCCAAATCGGCGAGCATACGTTGGGAGACCTCCATTGTTAGTGAGTTCCTTAACAACCAGAAATTGGAAGAAAAGCTTTTGAAATATTAATAAAACTCATATCGTATGAATTTTATGGCAGGATGTGAAATTTTGGTTCATATTAATGAAAGACAAGGAAATGAAATGATTGAGCTTGACAGAAAACCTTGATCAGGAAATCAGAATGACGAATATTTTTATTAAAAACGCGTGAATCCATGGACAATTTTATTTAAATGTAAAACTGGTGTGAATTTTCAAAATTTATTGAGATTCTGTTCCACCCGAAATTATAGATAATCTGACCTTTAAAATTAATGTGTTGCTTTAATGAGAGCCATTTCCCAGAAGAAACTGTCACTCATGGCTCGTTCGATCTTAATCCAGCCGTCGTGCTTGGGACAGGGACCCGTCTTGACCTTTACCCCGCTGGGTTGGAGGCACCGCTCCACGTCGTTGTTCCAAACCATGACCTTGCCCAAACTAGGGGCCGGGGTGGGTCGAGGGTCAAGCGTGATGGTCCATCTGCATCAATATTTAACCCAAATTAGAAAAAAGTTCGCTCTGATATAAGTAAAATTACAAGTTTTTAAAATCTGTGGGTCTGGACTATGTATGAACCTGAGATACTTATTTGAATCGGGGAAATTCTCGTACCTAATCTGTATTAAATTTGAAATATATGTACTTATTTTTTACATTCATGTTAAATATTTTTAGTATTTATTTATTTTTAGTATTTATTTTTAGTGTTTTTAGGATTTATTTTATTGTATTTTTAGTATTTATTTTTAGTATTTAGTATTCAATTTGAAATATATGTACTTATTTTTTACATTCATGTTAAATATTTGTATGTAAATGTGATAATTAAATTGACGCTGATAATTTTTAATGAAATTTAATAAATATGGGAAGCATGGATTTGAATATTACGCCAACTTTGAAACGTTGCAAATCAAACAAAATACAAAAATGTGTTCATCTCTCGAATAATGGCGAATTTAATCGATGAAAATTGGGATGGTGTGTATTAATCTTTTCTTGATTGAGAACCAAATTTTTCGTAGAATTTGGAATTTATGAGGATCCGGATTCGTAAAATTTCAATGCTTCATGTTGCATACAAATATTCGAGGTACATATATGTAATAATTTTTGTGAGTATGTAAGAGACTAGAAATCTAGCAACGCTAAAAGCAATCCTGACAAAAAAAATTGCAAATGTAAATTCTGTAAAATTTACAAATTTGTATTTTTGTACAGGATTTCTTTTTTACCTTTGCATATTTTTACTTTTTTTAAAAAATTTTTACCTTATACAGGCACATTGTAGGGAACAATTTTGCAAATGGGTGTAAAATCCTTTTCCCTCGGGGGGCGAGGCGAGACACATTTCCGGGGTGATGAATGGCCTAATACTTCCCCCCCACTGGGGACCGAGCGTGATCCACTCCTGAATCTTGTCCGAAGGGTCGCAAAAGTCCATGAAAGTGTCGCCACGATGACCCACCAGGCATTTCCCGCTGGACAAGTGTTTCAACAAAAAGTGGCGTCGGTACGGCACCTCGTTTTGTACACCACTCGCCAAAACTAGAATTAGCAGTGACACGGCCGCGAATTTTTTATTCATCCTGAAGGAACTCTGTGAAGAAATTGGAATCAAAATATTGAAAGGTATTTCGACGGGATAAAAAAATACTGTCGTGATAAATTTTCTAAACTTTTAAGAGTATAAAATTCTATTTTTACCTAGATTTTCCTGCTTGCTGAAATTTTAAAATAATTTACGGAACTCTCAACATTAAAATAATCCAAAGGAATTACTACACTCTAAATAACTTGGGGACAAATCGCAACCTGCGGAGGTACTATAGCTGATTGGGCTAAATTTTATAGTACTAATTGAGCAGACGAATTGTCACCAACAGAAAGCTCGTGTACCAAACGGAGGGAATGTTGTCATTTTAAGAATTTTAACCCCTTCGCTCCCACAAAAAGGACTGGAAAATTCGTTTGCTACCATTTTAATTCAGATGTCAAATCTCAAAAATATGAAAAAGACAGTGAAAACCAGAAAAACTCGAAAATTCCAGTTTTTTTACATGGCGTTGGTATAGGAAAAGTTCAAATTTTTGGCAGAAAAAGTCTACAGAAATTCCACTTTTTGCCATCGAGTTTTCCACTTTTTGCAATAGAGTTTTTCCATTTTTCCATTTTTTCCTTGGTTTCTGGTTGTCATCGAAAAATTCAAAACTACACAAATGTGTGTAGTTGGTCCTTAACGGAAAGCAAAAAAGTTAACAAATGTGTGTACTTGGTCCTTAACGGGTTAATATTGTGAAAAAAAATTATATACGGATAAATAAGTTCAATTTATGTAAATAACAACATCACAAACTTAGCGGTTGAGTTTTTTGGTTATTATCACTTGTTGAAAAAATGTCTCCTTACACATTTCCCAAAAATACTACTTATGGAATGAAATTAATGAATGAAAAAATGAGAGTGGATACGTGCCGGAAGTTCCGACTTGTCTGTGGACATCCGCCGTCAAGATGTTCCACGAATTTTGGGCTGACCCTGGCCCACTTTCTTGCTCGCAATGAGACGAGACGACAGTCAGTCAAGGCGTGAACGGGGCATGCCCAGCTTTTGGATGGGCATGCCCATCACTAATTTAACATATTCTAATATTATAGTGTGAACGATACTTTGCAAATAAACCTTCGGATGCGAAAAATAGACAAATTTACGCTGAATTTTATGCAATAATTGGAAAATGGAAATATTTCAATTTAGCATCCACCCCAATTACTTTTTTGTGTGTCATACGATCTATTTTTCAATTAATGTATAAAATTCAACCTAAATTTGTCGATTTTTTTAAGATTTTAAAGTATCGTTTACGCTAAAATATTAAAACATGTTAAATTAGGGATGGGTATGCCCATCCAAAAGCTGGGCATGCCCCGCAGACACCCTGACTGACAGTATATAGTTTTTTTGCGCAACTTCTTTGTCACCCATTTCGTGACAAAGTTGCAATTGGAATTGCGAGGCAATATGCTTCTCGTGTGGGTCTTACGATTTGCGTAATTGTACATGCAGAGTTCGTAAGTCATGTTTTTTTTGGGTTTTGTTTTTATTGTGTTTTATTGCGCGTTAATACTGTCGACAAAACCAAAAATACATAATTGTATTGAAAAATACAATAAAAATACATAAGGTTTTGTACATAATCCTGCTGGAAATTTCTCCTTTTTTCTGTACAGATTTTTGCTGATATTGATCTCGATAAACTTTTCCTGTAGGGAAAATGGGTCAATTTTCAGAATGTTGGCCAATTTTCGGCAGGAAAGTTATTGAATTTTTTCTCGGGGAAGGAAAGGTAAATAATTCGGCGAAATTATTCCAATGCATTAAATACGTCAAAATGTCATACAGGATAATATGCAAGTTGATAAAAATTCTGAAATGTTATACAAATATTTACACAGCATGACTTTATTGACACGAGATGCATAAATTCAAGTAAATAATTGCATGAATAGGACACGTTATGGCGTATCACCGAAAAAACGGAAGTCAGACAGTTTGGCGAAAACACTTTCGGCGAAAAAAAATCGCAAGAAAAACCACGCGACAAAATATTCCGTATTTGGAACCCTGGCGTTCACTTGAATCGTATTCCTTGCCATGTCTGCAAGCTTCGTCAAAAGTATGCATGTCTTTGTCTGATTTTGTTTATTTTACACATTTTTGTATCTCATGAACAGGGGTGTACTTATTTAGGCTTTGTTTACACCCATGTCAATTTACGTACATATTATTAATTAACTTATAAATTTGTAGTATATATTATTTTGATCATATCCATGTAAATCTTTGTGCATACATTAAAGCTGTCCGCACTAGAATATTAATAGCAAACTTATATTATTTATATGTTACAAATTTTGGTTAAGTAAAACCGTTAACTAACTAAGTAACCTTAATGACTTGATTTGCCAAGATACATATTTACGTAAAAATTAAAGGTCTGGCATTGATTTGTGTTGTTTAAAATATTGTGCTTTAATTTGTTCACTAAAATGCAAACAAGGTTTGTTTACACTTTAATTATGAAATTTAGTTTGTTTTCTTGTAGCACTAATCAACAAAACAAACGAATGCTTAATTGATTTTCCGAAATTATATTGCTTTGGCTTTATATATTTAGCAGCAAAATACTCAAATTGATTTTCAGGAGTTTTCGAAATTCGCTTTGTAATTTACTCGATCACATCTTTTGTGTACGGCCCCTTTCACAAAGCGTAACAGAAGGAGTTTTTCGTAATAAAGGATACCAAATTAGACAACTCTCCCTTCCTTCCCTGCATCATGAATGGATAACGGTCTGACTAAAAACCAAGTGTCTCGTTAAATCAACTTTTACAGCCAAAATTAAATTTAAACTTAAATTTTTAAGTTTAAATTATGGTTAAATTTTTAAAATAAGATACTAATTTTTGAAATTTTATTAATTTTTGTTCGGGTTGAGGTGACCGTTCAATTTCTCGCCTTATAGGTCAGGTGCAATTAATTGTTCATTTTACGTCACACCATGGTCACTGAGGGGGGACGAAGGTTGACCATTAGTTAAAAATTAGTTTTTTCTAAATTCAACCATAGATCAAATTATGAAATTAATCACTAAACGATGTCAATTTTTTTAAATTCGAGACATAGAACAGTGCACATACCACGGCACCTGCAGTAAGTTATCCTGCAAACCATTTCAACTTAAGGAGGACAAATTCTGTGTCAAGATTCCCCCACTTCTAGTTTTCTTTACGATTTTTCTAATCAGTCATATTTGCCAAAGGACAAAAATATGTTGGACCATTGACCAGCTCCCCACTAAAATAACTTGAGTGAAAAAATGGTCGAAAAAGGTATGCAAAACATTCCATCAAGCAGTTGGCATAAAATTTGTCACACCCCTTAGGGATTCTTCTGCGCATAATTTGCCCCGCATTTTTATGCGTGTAAGCATGCTGCGTACTAATTTGATTATAAGATTTTCTATGTGTCTATTTATTAGAGCAGGAATATGTGGCAAGAAATGTAAGAAAACAGAGTTTGTGACGCTCTCTTAAACCCATTCGTATGCCCTTCTTATTTTCAATATAATTTCATCACTTTGTACACCCGGTAATTTTTGTATGCATTTCGTTGTGAAGTTTTAAGCATGGTCGGTTACATATTTGCACGTTACATGTACAAATAACGGGCAATAGTTATAACTTTAATTGCTGAGTTAACTTGTTTCGTCTTTTTGGGTTAAAGCTGGGAAAAGGTTTTGACATTATTTTCATTGGTCGAAAAGCCATGGGTAATACTAATTAGCAAAGTTGCTTAACTAATTTACTCATTATTTGCATATTTTGTAGCCAGCGAGCAATTCATTCAAATAAGTAATACAATTTTTTGTAAATAATATCTACAACAAGTAATTATCTTAAATGATTCATATTTCGATAGGACCCTTATAATAAGGGTATTATCTCAATATTCACATCTATGGCAAAGCAACAACACTAAACGAATAAATTGATGGATTTCGACCTACGGAGAATTTGTGGTTTCAAAATATGTGATAAATTATCACTGGTAAGCGTAACCAAACTCAAAGTAAATCAAGTGTTGGAAGATTGAAATGTATCCAAATTCGTGAAAGAACGGGCTACTGAGAACATCTTGTCTCAGATTTTGAGTAGGCCTCTTATCCCTTCGTCAGTCCCTTGGGAATCTTGGGTTGGCTGAATTAATACAAATTACGACAACAGCTCGCCATGGAAATGCCTGTACCACCAAATTAATTCAATTCTTGTAACGATTTCACATTACATGGGGGAAAACGTTATGTTTGGTTTTTATTTTGGAATTTTTTAAATGAAATGAATTAATTTTTAAATGAGAAATTTGAGTTGTAACGTTTCAAGTGAATTTACGTTTCACAAGGGTGACATTATTTCTAAGGGTGAAGTATAGGATGCATTTATTCTTTGTTTTATGGACAAGTTAGAAAAGATGTAGAGTAGATCTGCTCATTGTTTGCTATTTAGGACTATTTAGATTGTAAAAAAATATATGACAAATTTAACACTTTCATCCTTCGCAAATTCAGGCATATAAAATTGAGGGATATAAAGTCTGGGTCGAAATTCTGCAAATTTTAGAAGAGTAACTATGTAGCTATGTATATTTGGAGCAAAAATTTTTCTACATGTATTTTAATAAATATCTTAAGAATTGTCGATATTAAAAATTCGACCTGGCAAGAATGAGATTGAATTGGATTAATTGTTAATTTTGGGCACTCTTAACTGTCAAAACTCAATTAAAATTCAGAAGAAAATCTGGGACAAGGTAAGGGCCAGCATATTTATGTGTTTGATATTTTATTACATAGACCAGAGTAAGATAAGAGAGTCAAAGACGAGCAGGATAAGCTTCTTGAATTAAGTTAATAACTTACAATTTCTATAAATTCTTAATTCTATTATTCTATATAGTAGAACTTCTAAAATAAAGTAATTGTCGGCTATAGACTACGAAAAATTGACCTGTTAAAGAACATTGAAATAGTGCTATTTTACTTCATGTTAAATAGCAAAATTGTCAATGTTTTTTAACCCGTCACACGGTCAGTTTTTTTAAAATATAAAAGAATCAAAATGTCTTATTTTTCGATTTTCTATAAGAAAAAAAAATCACCACGAGGATAATTTCAAAAGTCGGTTTAGCAGGTATTGTAAAGCATAGGTTGTCCAGAGACCCGGGGAAACCCTGGCTGTAGTGCTGATTGTGACCTGGGGTAATTTCGCTCGGATCGAGCAGTAGCCTAAAGACGACCAGGACGGCTTTGCTTATTTATCACAAATATTTCACAAAGTTGACAACACGCGAACTTTACTGACTCACTCGGTGGAGCTCTTTAGCTTTAGTCGGGTGCGTACAGAAAACAGAAGCGTCCAGACGACGCTCCTCCACAACACACCACAAAAAATTTGACCATATCAATAAATTCGGCCAACTTTGACTAATTTATGGAACAACTGACCAAGCGGAAACTTCCTTTCCTTGTTCCCTGCGAGCGGTCTGAGATAAAAGGTTTAATGATTTAATTCGAAATGGTGTTAATGATGAGAAAACCTTGCAACTTGGTGCTGGCCGGTAGTATTTATTGCCATCGTAAGAGACAAGGTTAGGAACATGTTACACATGTGAAAAAGAAATAAAGATCTGTATGAAGTGGATTTACACAAGTCAAATATCCTCACGAAATATATGAGATATGCGAATATGAAGATGGTTTTGAGATGTTTTTGGTGTCGTAAACTGACGTATTTTTTACATGAATACGACCAGAATTGATATTTTGCAATAG